GAGAAAGATACACTGATACAACTGATGAATATTACATTTTTAATCAAGTATTTGGAGTTCATAAAACAATTACAAATAACATTGAACTTAAGTGCAAGGGTGGCACTCATTGCAATCAACTTAGATTACTATCAATTTTAGCAAACCTAATCTTAGCTTGTTTAAAATTACAAGGTGGACCATTTAGGAATCTTTCACAAAGTATGTACGCTCGGATAGGAAAGAGGGGTTTTCAGGCTTGGACAGAAATGGTGTGCGATCGAGCGCTATTGCTGAACGCGCAAATGATTTTATTTCTTAACAACTTGACCATGATTGTTTATATGTTTTCACAATTTAAACATTTCAGAAATGGCAAATTTTATTTATTTTAATGAAAAAAAAAAAAAAAAATTTGCCTGCAATTTAAATAAAATAAACTGCCGAAAAGAAATTTAATTTAACTTTAATTTGAGCATTACAACTTTATTATTAAACACTTCACGTAAAGTTACTTCACGTTATGTGAAGTCATCGTAAGTTTAATATAAAAATATAATATAATAAAAATAATAATATAAAAATGAATCATATGAACATTACAAAATGCTTAAAAACTTTTCCATTAACCAACAAAATATATGTTTACATAAATAAATAAAGTCATTTTATATTCTTGCAAGCCTTCTAAGGAAAGGCGTGCGGTTTTTTGTCTCATACGACCACACGCGATTATGCTATTTTAGAAAACGTGAACACGGCCATTTGCAAGTTTTATAATAATGCTGAAAAAGTTTCAAAAACAAAAAAAAACAAAACTAACAAAATAAAAAGAGATTGAAATATAAAAAAATAAAAACAAATTAATAATTTAAATAATTTGTGTACTGTTTTTATTTTTGTTTCTTTAGAGTTATATTCAGCAACAAAATTAGATAAGACAAAGCAAAAAAAAAAAAAAAAAACAGTTTGAAGTCTACAATTAAAAAAATGATTTTCCTTTTTTTAATCTTTTTTAAAGAGGATAGCAAAAATACAAATTGCAATGTGTTTGTAAAATTTATTTGTATAATTTTAATGTAACAACAAGGGTTGAATTAAGCGAATGTAAAACGCAAAATCTGGAAAAATATCTAGTATTTAAAATTTTAGTTTATACAAAACCGTGTTCCTTGTTTTTAAGAGGAGAATCAACTTAAATTTGTTAGCCAAAAAATAAAAAATAAAACAATAAACTTATGATTACAAAAGTAATAACACTGTAGTCACTAACTGCATTACAAAAGTAATAACACTATAATAGTGTTATTACTTTTATAACGCACTTATAACTTTTAAAATTCATTCTTTGTTTAAGCAACATTAGTATTCCCAAATTTTAATTGAAGTAGAAAATATCTAGAAGAATAAAGTGGATGTTTAAATAATATTAAAACTAAAGTAATTTATAAAAACGTGACAAACAACTTTATAAAAACGTATCATTAAAAGTTTAGCATTATGAAAAACATTACTAATGGACTGTAAAAAACGCGCCTTAATTTTATTTTAAAATTAACGCGCATTTTTACGGTCCAATAAAAGTTTTTTATTGGTTGATTTTAAAATTAACGCGCGTTTTTATGTAACGTTTTTCATAATGCTATAATATTTATAAAGTACTTTTTTATAACGTTGATTAAGTGATATGTGAAAGTTCCTGAAATTTTTAATAATATCTAAATATCTGGTTTGTTTTTTCTAGATGCTTTTCTACTTTAATAAATGTTTGGAATTAATAATGTTGTTTGAACAAAGAATGAACTTAAAAGTAATAAGTGCTTTATAAATGTAATAACACTATTATAGTTTTATTACTTTTATAATGCAGTTAGTGGCTAAAGTGTTATTACTTTTGTAGTCGTAAGTTTATTGTTTTTGTTTTGTTTTTTATAACTTTCTCGCTAGCAAACTTTTAAAATATTTGCTCTTTATAAACAAAGTACACAGCTTTGCATGAACTAAAATTTTAAAGACCTAATATTTTACCAGAGTTGGCAAATTTTTTTTTTTTTTTTTTTTAAACATCTTCGCTTCCAACAAGGCTGTAAGCAACCACTAATTAGTGTTGGAAGTTACTGGAAGAGAAAAGATAAAGATTGTAGAGCAAGATAACGATTGATAGACAATTTAAAAGATTGCAAATTATATGAATCAGGAAAGCAAGATGAACGAAGCAAATTCCAAAGAACTGATGTTCGAGGAAAAAAACTAGAGGATTAAGAGTTTTTGGAGCACTTAGGAACAGTAACAGAAAAAGGATGAGACTTAATTGAATGACGAGTAACACAAGAATGGCTTCGTATCGTGACATGAATAAATGTTAGTATCATCAGCGAACAATGCCACTTTAGATGTGAGAATATCTGGAAGGTCGTTAATGTAAATTAAAAAAAGTATAGGGCCAAGGATTAAACCTTGAGGAACCCCTGAGGTTACAGAATAAGAAGAAGAATGCTATCCATCAAGGACAACTTTTATACTACGATTAGAAAGGAAGGATTTGATAATCTTAAAGATGTTTCCAAATACACCGTAAGAAGAAAGCTTATGAAGAAGACCAGCATACCAAACTCAAACAGCATATCAAACGCCTTAGAAATGTCAAGAGCGATGGTCTTAACCTCTCCACCTTTATCTAATGCTCGATAAAACCTATCGGTTATTACTGATAGCAAATCAGCCGTAGAACGAGAGGATCAAAATCCATATTGATGATCAGAAAGTAGGTTATGAGATTCGAGATGAAAGATTAAGTGTTTGTTTATTAAAGATTCAAAAACCTTGCTTATGATAGGAAGAAGACTAATGGGACAATAGTTAGATGAATCGGATTGCTCTTTAAAAGATCCCTATCTTTAAAAAAGAATTTTTAAAAATAGGGATAACAGATGCTTCTTTTCAGCAGGCTGGAAAACAAGACTCTGATAAGCACTTGTTAAATAGTTTTGAAAGGATAGATGACAGCTCCGGAGAACACTTCTGCAAGACAATAACGGACTATAAATAAGACTATAAGACTATAAATCACGATCGCATAATTTAACTCTTGATATAAACTTGTTACATTATAATTATACGAATATATTTTACAAACAGATGACGATACATATTTTCTCTTTTGTCTTTAAAAAAAAAACACACATAAAATATGGGAAAGTCATTCTTTTTAACGCCAAAAACCGTTTTTTTTTTTGCTTTGACTTGATGAATTTTGTTGCTGATAATAATAACCACTTAGAAAAAACAAAAATAAAAACAACACACAAATTATTTAAACTATTATTATTGTTTACTATTTAAGTTTCTTATGTAGTTATTAAATTTAAAACAATTTTTTAGTAACGCATATAACATAACTTGCGCAAACGGCCGTGATCACGCTCTCTAAATTGAAAAAGGTTTTTGTGGTCGTACGAGATGAAAAACCGCACGCCTTTCCTGGGAAGACTTGTTCTTGTATAATTTACATAAAATGTGTAAAAGCTAGTAGTCGCAAATAGTTTTGAACTTATTCATAAATTAAAGTAACTTAAAAAAAAATCTTTCTAAAATTAATGCTTTAGAAGATTTTTAGTAAGACATGGGAATATTGTTTCAAACATTAAAATTTTTTATGAAAAATACATACCTACATAAAAAAAAAATTAAATATAACATTTTTTATTATTAATAATTAATTATATGGTTTTATTTTAAAGCCTTTTATTTTAAAGGTTTTATTTTTGGTTTTATTTTAAAGCATTTTAAAATAAAAACTTTAGGAAAGATCAACAATTAAATCATAATTTTTAATTTTAATTTTTTGTAATTTTAAAGGTTATTCATAGTTTAACACTTTTATTGCATTTAACATTTTAAATGCAATAAAAAGTGTTAAATTATGAATAACCTTTAAAATTAAAAAAATTAAAATAAAAATATTATGATTAAATCAAAATAGCGGTGGTCAAGTTGTAAAGAAAAAAAACTATTAGCATGGTCAGTTACAGAGTACGATCGCACACCATTCCTGTCCAAGCTAGGGTTCTGCAAATCGAGTATATGAGAAGGGTGCAGGGGGTCAATTAAAAAAGTAACAAGACACTAAACTAAAAAATTATCATAATAGGTTAGGTAGGTAGGTTAAAAGCGTTAATACTTTAAAGGAGGTGGAGAATACTCAATAAAATGTATAGCAAAATGTGGAGGGAAGGGGGTGATCAAAATAAAAGCAAACAAAAAACAAAGGGACAAAGAACAATAGGTCTTATCACAGAGCACCCAGGAAAAGCTATTTAATCAAGAAGTCCTCACCTAATTCTTTACTAATGTTGCTTATCTGGCCAGAGCCAACATCAAACCACAGACCTCCTATTTCTGAACAAGAACTCTAATCACTGAACCATAACTGCTATAAAGTTATTTCTTATTTTCAGAAGTAATCATTCAAATAGTTCCTTATACGGACTAATTTCATGTATAATGCCTAATTTTTTGTTGTATTTATAACAACACATAATGACTATTTAATTGATAAAATGAAAAGAAAAATATTTACCATGGATTCAACTTTAATAATAAAAATGATTTTATTTAATTTAATAATCAATTGCTGTGTTAAAATAATCTTTAATTGAAATTAAAGTAGAAGGCTATATATTTATATTTAAAAAAAGTATTAAATAATTTAAAATCAACACAAAAAATTTCATAATCAGCATGAAAAAGTGGTTAAACTATAAAAAATCTTAAAAAAGTTTTTCTGCCTCCTTATACCCCCTCCCCACCATCCCTAATTCTATACTTATAAAGCTATGTTTTTAATTGATTAATCATTAACCCTTTCATAACACAATACAAAAAAATAAAAGCAAAATTTTGCCAATCTGATGTCAACTACATACACCACTATTGTGCCAACCTAAAATACTTTAAATATCCCAGGCTGTAACACTGTTGGACAATTTTAGTTATTAGGAATAAAAATTTTTAAAAATTACCTGAAACTAAGTACAGGACCAGCTTGACTAAAAATATCTTTCAATTGATCATCTGAAGCCTCATAAGGAATGTTGCCAACTTAAATAAACATTAATTCAAAAGAAAATATAAGTAATAAATAACTTCTATTAAATTAAATATTAATGCAAAGATAAAATGCGTAAGAAACATTTTTATTAATTAAAATCTATTAACATTATTATTAAATAAATATTATATTATTAATTAATAAAAAGACAACAAAAATAAGCTACATAAAAGTTTTTTAAAAATCATTGCAATATAAGTGAGGGTGGAGAAACTTTTAAGACCTAAAAGGAGCAGAAACTTTTAAAATCTATTTAAAAAGAAACACCACCAAAAACAAGATATGGGAAATCCCAAAAAGAATTCAAGGTTAAAGAGTTAAAGATTCTTTTCTATTTATCTGAATTATGTATTCCTAGAGATCTTAAAGTTTTGGAGCTTTGAACTTTACAGAATAAAACAAAACTAGTTTAGAAACTCTAGAATCAATTCAGAAAAATCAGATTCTAGAACTATAAATAACTGTATTTTTTGTTATGGAGAACAAAAATTCCTAAACATTTTCAGAGTTTTCTTATTTTACTTTTTTAGACTCCTTAAAAAAAATAAAAACTCAAAACATAGGATTCCTTTAAAGGATTTCTATCTCTGACTAAAACACTACTTTGAGACGCACATGAAAAGTAAAAAGATTAAAAATAAAATTAAAAATATTTAAAAAATTAACTATTATTGTTTATTTAAAAAAAAAAACATTTTTTGCAATAAAATCAATAAAAACTATTTTAGGACATCTTTCAAATTACAACCTTCAAATAACAATGCTGATTATATAATTGCTAAAACTTAAAATAAATTTATACAAATGTGTTACATTTATTGTTATTTTCTATTTGAAAGCTTGAAATGTAATCTTACTTATAACTTTGATCCCAGTGTTTAAAATGTCATGAAAATAAAATTATAATACTCAGTATACACTTTATTAATAACCAACTTCATTAACATTATTAAGAATATACTGTTTGGAAATGGTATTTCAGAATTAGTTCAATAAATTTACCAAAAACAGATCTTGCAGATTTTTCAGCGGCTTCCTTCATTTGTTGATCTTTAACTGCAGAAATTTCTCGAACCTGAATAGCTGCCATTTAAAGTTAGAGAACTTTTGTGGCAAAGTAAGAATTGACTATGTGGAATACTTTATTTAAACTTTTAAGATGGACAACTACTTTCGAGAAACACGCTAATGCTAAAGTTAGTTTAAGCTAACGGACCTGAAAACGCATATTTTGAAGAATAGAAGTTACATAAAGGCCGAATCTATTTTTAAAGTATAAATAAGGAATTTAGGCTATTTTTTCAACCGATATAAATTTTGTTTTCGTGAGAGTGTTGCTGTGTTACGATTTAGAATTTCGAGGTCCGAGGGCCATGACGTGAAAAAAAGATAAAATAAAAATAAAAGTATATATATATATATATATATATATATATATATATATATATATATATATATATATATATATATATATATATATATATATATATATATATATATATATATATATATATATATATCATAGGCGCCCGCAGAAAATTTTCTAAGGGGGTGCAAAACATTTTTTGTTTCTGCTTTTTTTCCTGTTATCTATTATGTAAAAATCAAGATATGTAAGATATAAAATAAAGAGAAGAAAAAAAATATATGTCCGTGGAAAAAAGAAGACAATTTAAACTTGTCAGCACCGTTTTTGTGTATAAAATATTCACATTTTTTTTATTGATCTTTATTAAATGTAAGGAATTAAACAGACATTGGCTCCAAAAAAGATGAAGATGATAATACGTCATTGTAATCTTTGCACAGAGCCTCCATATAAAGTATTTTTTTTAATTGATACTATATAAATATACAAAATATAGTAGCAATCAAAGATTTTTATTATAAGTAATAGAGCATTGGATAAGCATATCAAATAAAGGCAAAAAATTTATAAGAATTTTGATTTTATATTCCAGAGTTTTAATTGTAATTTTATCTTTTGAAAATGTAGTGTGTAAACTACGAAACATGCTAAGATTGAAAAATATCGTGTTTTTCATACAAATAAGCAATTAATTATTTCGGAAAAAACTTAATTAGGTTTTTTCCGAAACTGTAACAAAGTATCACTAAAAGTTATTTTTTACAGAAAAATTTAGTAACAAACTTTATGGCATGAAGAACGTTACAAACAAGAAAATTGTTTTCTATATTTAGAAAATACAGGAAGGAGGCATGTGCCCCCTCTTGCCCCCCCTTGTGGGCGCCCATGATATATATATATATATATATATATATATATATATATATATATATATATATATATATATATATATATATATATATATATATATATATATATATATATATATATATATATATGTATGTATATATATATATATATATATATATATATATATATATATATATATATATATATATATATATATATATATATATATATATATATGTAATCGGAAAGATCTTGTCGATAACAAAAAATTTATATGCAGAAAATGTTTCCTTTCCAAGATATTTTATAAGAACATTAAACAATGTGAAATTTGTTTTAAATTTATTAAAACACAGACTCAGACAAGGGCGGATCCAAAATTTTTTGGTCTTTGAGATAGCTAACTTCTAGACATGGAGCAAACTCTATACATTTATAAGTTTATACTTATAAATGTACATAATACTACAAATAATTTTGATGGTTTGAGCCTGGGAACAAAAAAGCCCCAAAACTTTGACCCCCATCCTTGCCCCACATTATATGAAATATGAAACTTTAAATATCTTGATCAATATAAGTCTAGTTGAAAATAGTTTAAATTTTCATCAACTTGTTACTCTCACGTTTGGGGCAGGGGGGACAAAAAATTTTGGCTTTTTTATTCCCAAGCTACAATAACTGCAATATTTTGCAAAGCATCTTTAGTTGGCATAAGTATAAACATATAAATGTTTGGAGTGAGTTGATCCGCCCCTAGATCCAGAAGATACAAATCAGTATAAAAGTACTAAAAAATAGTTCATTCATTCTAAGTAAGTATCAATGGTGAATTTTGTTTACATTATTCTTATTAAGATGAGTTTTCTATTAAAAACATCTGTTTATTATATACATGATTAAAAAATTTTTCTATGGGAATTTAAAGATGTTTATCTTGCATTTTTTTTTATAGTGACAGAGCTTTTACATTATTTCTCTTAAAAGGCAAATGATTTTATTTTTATAAAACAAAGTAATTGGGCATCATTAATATTTTAGAACCAAATAAGTAATATAAGGTATACAAAACTGGTATGAAGGATGTCATTAACTGTAAACGAAGGATATTCCAACATAAAATTAAAATATAAAATAACTTCCTAGTTGAATGATCTTCGGCGGTGCTCTATAATAAGACCGTAAGAACTTCTTGGAGCACATTAATAACCAAAAGATAATAAAAATGAAAAAAATAACATAGGTCAGAATTTATATTGAATAAAATTACCTCACAGTTTTAGTTAAATTAGTATAAGTATCAATTTGTACTACTCGACTAATTGTCTACTTTATTGATTTTTTTTTTTTAGCTATTTAGGTGCTCCAAGAAATCCTCAAGGTCTTCTTGTCACAGAGCACCGCGGAAATAGCATTTAAACAGAAGGTTTACGCTCCTTACTTTTTTACCAAATGTTGCATTTATGGCCTGAGCGGACTTCGAACCACGGACCTTCCAGAACTCTAGCCACTACACTACGGCTGCTTAAATACTATAAAAGAATTTTCTTCTGATGTTAAATAAATATATCTACAAAATTAGATGGATTATTAACAAATTGTTTTTTGTTTTTTTTTAATTTAGGTGCCCCAAGAAGTCTTACGGCCTTATCATAGCGGATGAGCATTTAATAGGAAGTTCACGCCTTCTACCCTCACTTCCTTCCTAACCAATGTCGCAAAATTTGCTCAGAGGTGGGTTTAGACCAGGATTCCTTTGTTTCTGATGTTTAAATTTTTTTTGTTCCTGAGAAGGGTTAAAAAGTATTGTTTTTATTACGGAAAGATATGAATACTCTAAATAGTAAATTTTGAAAAAAAATGACTTTTCTGATAAAATTTTGAAAAATTTAGGAAAAAACCTCAAAAACAATAGTTATTGGGGTTAAAGACATTACTAGTAGTGTTATAAACTCTCTGCTATAGGTCTTCAAAATTTGAAGAAAGAACTAAAGAAAGGCTGTAAAATCAAACTTATACTTAGGGCTTTAATTTTTTCAAACTTAATAGACTTACAGCAAAAAAATTAATAAATTTACGAAAGTGTTCTAGAATTAGATTTTTTTTATTCCAAATTAATTATAGTGATTTAATGCCATGGAAGGACAAAAACCGAAAGTCACCGAAAGACAAAAAGTACACATTCATGATGTTATTATATAATTCTTTTTTTAACAAACAAGAACAAAACTTTTATAGATTTCATAGGTTTTTTTCATTATTGCCAGTAACCTTTTTTTTCTCCTTCTGCTTCTCCATTCTTTTTTTATATGTCAATGATTTAAAAACCTCTGATGTTTTTTTAAAGTTAAAACCAAGTACAAGTAAACAAAATTTGAATTCAATCTTCTCATTTAATGAACCTTTAAAGTTCCATGAGTGTAGATGCTACCATTTAAATTTGGGGGCTCAATATCTTTGAGTCTAAATCGATCACTACAATGTCACACAGTCAATCAGCTAATTTAAAACACTGTTTAGCGTTTTCAATAACAACTTTAGTTGACAAAACTTCCTTGTAAACATTTTTTTATAGTTCCACCAACTCCATCTTGGGATCCTATAAAGTGATATGCCTTACCATAACTCCAAGTCAATGTAATATTTTCATGGTAATAAGAGAAGGAACAAAAAACAAATTGAGATTGAAACTGACCAGCCCATCCATTACTTTAAAAATGAAAAGTGGAAACTGATGGAGCCATACATCTTCTGGTGTATTCTAGCATCGATAACTTCTCTTAACTTATGATAAGTGATTTTAATGTCGTCCTCTTTATTAAATAAGTAAACAAGTTTTCTGTATGTAAAAGCATGTAAAGGTTTGAAAGTTAAACTTTGATACCATCATATTTCCCGCAGTAAACAGTATCTTTCCTGCCTGGGGAACAATAGCTTATATCTGGTTGTTCTAAAAATTGAACTACGTTTTTGAAAGCTTTCTTCTAGAATAAAAAAAAAATTGCTTTTTTTTCTTGGTGACAAACTTTGCACAAGAGCAGATAAGACTTTAACTTAAAGTGGACTTTTTTTGGCATAGCTCATTTTAACTTGGCTAATATTAGCCAAGTTAAAACGTTTATTAATAAATTGTTTATTAATAAACAATAAACCATTTAATTAGTTGTTCCATCTTTGTGTACTGTTTCCATCTGAAAATAAGACAATGCTTATCCAAAGAGATAAATTGAGTAAAAATAAACATCTTTATAAAAGAAATTAGAAATTATAATGTCATATATTTAGTAACAGGCGCAGATCTGTGTAAATTCGGCTTTAAAAGCGATTACTTAAAACTAAAAAAATCGGAATTAAAAAAAAGATCGGTGCATTGCATATCGATTTGTGACCACAAACAACCTGATTTTACGGCATAAGCTGACTAAGTTATTGTTTTTTTTAACGGCATATTTTAAATTAAAAAATTCCACTTTCAGACTCTGGATGATAAGATAACAAAATACAAAATTCAGCATCAGTGCAGTGCATTTGCAACTGACATTGTATGTTGTAATGTGGAAATCGATCTAATGATTGAAGGGGTCCATCACAGTTCTCTGCCCTAGTTTTAACCTCCAAAAGCAAGCCACCAGCAGCAAGAGCATCTGGGCTTGCTCCATAGTGGATTTTTACAAGAAACCACATTTAGTTGTTTTTGATTGGGAAACTTTTTCAAAATAAGATATAGCAGTTTTTTCAAACTCTACTCCTCTTTTAAAATTTTTAATGGCTAAAAATTTGTCATCTTCCTTTTTACCAGTTTTTACAGTGCTCCAGCATTAATTGTTTCTTTATGCTATTTCTAATATTAGGTGCATTATTGTCTTTTTCAGCATTAGTGGACTTTATTACTTCAATAGGTAAAATATCTTGGGCCAAAATTTCTTCAGAGCTTGCAATACTAATTTGTACATTAAAAGCAGAAGAATTGTCGAAACTTGTTAACTTTATTAATTCTCTGTAACTTAAT